GAATGGGGGTACAAAAGTAAAATGAGACTAAAAAGGAAAAATAATAAAAATAACTCTATTGCTCTCTTTAAAATACATGGAGCTTTACAAAGCTTTCATGACTCAGGGTGTCTCTGAGTCATCCTTATGCCATATATATTTTGTAAGAATGCAGAATCCAGCTTTATTTCTGCAAATAAATGCACTTTTATTTTATGTTAAGATACAACACAGTTTCCTATGCGATAAGGATACATTTTCTATTTAGCTTTTTTTTTTTTTAGAATTTGTTTAGGTCTCTTTAAAATATTCTATAATAAAATATCTGCAAAATATGAGATTTTTAAGAATAAAAGCAATCCCCAAACTCTTAAAACTTAGCTTTCTGAGAGAAAAACACAAATTGTTGAGGAAAGGCAAAGTGACTTTTTAACAAGTGGAGATTAGTGCAAATAAATTAAGAATATAAATGAGAGAATAATATAAAGCAATTTGTAAATTACACCCATTGTTTTAACACAACATACTCTGGTGTCAGTGTCCAGTGAAGGGGGGCTAAGTAAATAATTTCATTGTCTAAGACAAGCACAGTTAAGGCACAAGGTAGGAGCTTGATGGGGATTTGTTAAATTAATAAGACAAATTAGCTCAGCTACTTGGAGGTTACAGTTTAAAATCTGCCAGTTTTAATTTCTTTCATTGATGAAGCAATAAAAGTTCAATAATATTATATTTTCATATTTTGTGATGGAGAAATCTGGGTTCTCATCTAAATATTGACTTTGAACATTTGATTAGACTCAAACAAATTTTAAGATAAATTTTGACCCTATCCATATTAGGGTTTTTGTCTTTGTGGAGGTTAAAGAGCCCTATATAGGAAAAAATAGAAACCAAGTTTCTTATTTTCCTAAATCTCAGGAGTTGACATATTAAAGGCATACAATAAGTGTGGGAAAAATTTATAAATGATCTGAGGAATATGAAATCGGTTAAACACCCTTAGAATTAATAAGCTATATTTTCTCTTCCTCTGACTCCTACCAACTATATTCAATTTATAATAAGTAAATGTAGTTTTGTTAACTTACCATAGCAAAATGATTAATACTGCACTTTAAGGCCTTAAAATTTTTAGGGAAAAATTTTAACCACCTTTAAGATTTGGGATCACAATATCATATCACATAAACAAGCAAGTTCTTTCCTTCTAGCACACACTGTGATCTGAAAATAATCCAGTGTTTTCTGATGGTTCAGATTCAGGCTGTATGCAATGAGATGATTTTAATTTAGTTGTGTCACATGACTTTTTCCATTTGTGCTATTCAGTATTCTGGGCTAGATTTGTTGAAACATGTCTGTTTTCCAACTCTATGACTTTCTTTTTGATTATGAACATACAACTAATTTATCGTACTTACACGTCTATCATCTCTTTTTGTCACCGCAATCAAGGTATACAGTCTCATTTGGCAAAAATGAAAATAGATGACGTCCCCTTACCAAAACAACAATAACCAAACAAACATTTTTAATTGAGTCTACTTGACATCAAGAACTATGAATGATCACTGTTCTAGACAAGGAGTCTAAGGTCAAAAGAATAATGATGTTTAGAAGGAAAAAGAATAAAGTAAGAAAGGAACTGTTGAGGGAAAACTTCCTCGAAATAGTCATTTGTTCATTCCTTAAACCTGTATTGAATGGTTTCTATGTGTCAGTAACTGAGGATACAAAAAATGAGTAAGATACAGTGCCTGCCAGGACAGTGAAAGTGACTCATGAGATCAACCTTGAAGGAGAAGTAGGATCTGCCCACAAAGGAGGTAAACAATGAGCATTCTGGGCAGAAAACTCCAACAAACTAGTAGGTAGACTAGTACAGACATATGAGCATGTATGGAATATTCTGGAGGCAGCAATGATGTGTGATTAAAGTGCTGGTGATAACCAGTGAAGAGGTGATGTTAGAGAAACAGGTTGAGGCTTTCTGACATACTAAGACATACTAAGGAATGCATTTTGAAGGGAATGGTGAACCACAAGAGATTTTTAAGTAGGGGGGGAATCCATTCATGTCTAGGACTTTTAGAAGATGGGTGTATTGGTCCCAGCGTGGGAGATGTGCTGGGGATGGAGCCTAAAGGCAGGAGAACAACCGGGAGCCATACTATATCCAAGGGAGGTGATGAGCACCTGAAACACAGCAGAGAGAAGGGAAAGGAAGGAATTTATTTACGATCATTTGTGAAATGTGGTGATGCTGGATATAGGCCAAGGGATAGCGTGAAGAGTCAAGGTCAACAGCTGAGAGTGATGGCAGTAGGGGTGGCTTGAGAGACTACAGAGATTACTAAGAAAAGGGGCCAGCTAGGGACAAATAAAAGGACCGTTAAGTACTGTTCACAGCTCAAAGCAGGTTGGAACACATGAATTCTTCCAATCAGAAATTTGCATTTGCAAAGTTCTCCACAAAAGCCTCAACATATCAGGCCACAACTAAAACCCCAAATCAGAAAAATGACCTGGAATTATCAATGATACCAGCAGATTGCCTGGTACCTTCTCTAGAATGAGGAGTCTTTAAAAAAAATGACTATAAAAGCAGAAGAGTGACTTTCCATTTCTGGTAACAGTAAATGAGATCATTTGGACCAACACTCTCATTGAGGTAATCGAAAACATTTAAAATGTAAAAACAGCAAAGAGCTAATAAGATGGTGAAGACAGGAGCATTCAAGAGAAGACCAGAACTCAGATAAAGACACTAATTTTTGAAAGCTTTTGCTCTTGGGTATCTGAGTATCAGGAACAAAAGGTCTGAGAAACCAGCTTCATGCTGGGCAGCCTTATGGGTGTCGGTGGAACATCAAAGCCCACGGTCCTCAGGTGAGGGCTTTAATAAACTAACCCAGCTTTCACGTGGGACCTCAAAAGGTCATATCTTCCCTCAGGATAGATGTGAACACCAATTCAACCGTTCCTCTCACAAATTTGTAGCCTTACTTCTTGCACAGGGGTGCCTTGATTAATCACCTTTGATTAAGGTGATTCTGGTCTGATCCAGGGGCCCTGGCAGAAGCAAACCCAAGTCCTCTCTGGAGCAGACCATCATCACCACTAGGTCTCAACTTATCCCTACAAGTAATTTTAAAAATAATTTCCAGCAGATAGTCAAAGATATCAAAGCAAACAAGAAAACAAGACTGAAAACTGACAGGAGCAATAATAATAGAAACAAATCTTGGTAACTCTTGAGATATTAGAATTAGCAGATGTATATTATAAAACAACTACACTTACTATGTTCAAAGAAATAAAATCCAAGCTTGACGATGTCAGCAGGGACATCACAGCAGCAGAGAGATATTCATCGGCCCCTTCTGTCAACGCGATCTGGCCACATAACGTCTAAAATTCTTATATTTAAAAATTTTTAAATGTTGTATCCTTTTTTGGTTTTCTTTTGACACACTGAAAACAAAAACAAAGCCCCACACTAATATAATTTTATTTGTATGTATAATTCAATCAGAAATATATTAGTTAAGTAAAAGGTAAGTTTACATGTAAGTGTTTGTGCGTGTCCTGGTGTGTGTGATGCATGCTCTCACAAATTTCTTGGAGACACCTATGATTCCTGCCAGGCTCCCTCCTCTTGTCAATAGCTCAGGACACAGCCAGGTAAAGCAAGGGGGACAGGCATCCAATGTCACCAGGGAAAATATACAAACGTGCCATCCACTTGCAGAGAAGTGAAAATTAACTGCAACTTTCACAACTTAATGGGTTAGTTATAGATATTAGGGAAGGTTAACTGTGATCTAACAGAACTGTAAAATTAAGTGACTCTATCAGTATCATGTTCATTATGTTCATTTTTCATTTTAGAAGAGTAACGTGGTATTATTATTTATTCTGATCAAAGTTGAGTGAAAGATCCATATTATCATTCATTGTTCGTACCTAGTTCAGCCAGCTTAGTTCATTAGAATCTGGTTGATTTGACAGAACAAAACCCGGCCAGTTACGTGCAACAACTGTTCAGCCCCACGCTCTGTAATAAGCACATCAGCACATTTATTTTCCCCATATAAAGTAGAATTTCCAATTCATACCATGTACTCTGTGACTATTATGGACAGTATTTATTCAGAAGGAATGTTGTGCAAGTTTGGAAAAGCTGTCTCTAAGAGAGCCGAGAGGTCACTGGACAAAACAAGAAACAAAACCTATACATGGTCAAAAACTTGAAGAGGACTAAGGTTTGTCATTATTTCTTTTAACTAAAAAAGTTTTGAAATCCTCAGCACATAGCAATGCAGCAGCAAATCAGACAACTTTCCCCCTCCTCCACTCTCAAGCTCTGTAGAATCAGAACGCCTCTGTTCACTTAGCAAATATCAACTTTTTTGGAGAAGGAGAACCTGCTTGGAATTAATGAGGCAACACCAAAAAATAACTTCTATTAATAAATTGTTCTCTTCAATGGAAAATTGCCTATTTTTCTCATCTTTTTTTTTTTTTAAAGAAACAGAATATCTTCCAACGGCTCCTTATGCACTTTCTACCACCTTCCCCCACTACTTTTATTATTGTTTTCTTTTTTCCTTTTTTAAATTAAAAATGCCATAGTGCCAAGCAAGGGAAATAACTCCATCTCACAAGAATACAGTCACCACCAATGGCATCATGGACGGAATAACATTTAGTCGGTGTTGTGACATGTTTAACTACTGACGTTGTAATTCAAGAAATGCAGGGTGTTTAAGGAGTTAATAGAGGGAAAAGTAAGTAAAGGTAAAGCCAAACTGAAGTTAGAAGTGCAAGGTCATCTTCAAAACTAAGCTGAAATACTTTGTTTCTTTCTACTTCAAAGAATGTAAAACCCCAAATATCTCAAGAAAGGTAACAAAGTTACAACACTGGAAAATCTCCCTGATCACTTTTTCATTCACACAAATAAAAATAAAAATGCAACATTAACCTTCCCAGAGAAGCAACATCTTTGCACTTACCCTAGAGTATGTACATGATCTCTTAAATCCTTTTAATTCCAGTACATCCAGAACATATATGAATTCTTAGCTCATTCATATAAAGAATAAACCTTAACCAAATGGCTAATTACAACAGAGATCACAACAGGACTCTCTGAAATTCTAGGGAGAGACACAAGGTTAAAATCCAGCTTCTAGATCATGGTGTATACTGTGTCTATCTTTAACTTGAAAATGATTTGGTTTCACATTCCACTGAAGTCCCACTGGCAGATGCCTTTGGTAAGCTCACCAATGGCAGGCTGTCAAAAGCCCTCCCTCCACCCCCTCCACCCTCTTCAACCCCCTCCATGCTCTGACTGAGCTTCCGTTGCTACATCTAATACTGATTTACTCAGCTGTCTTTTTTACCTGTCTCCACGTGGGTAAAAGGAGATGCTTTCATTGATGGCTATTACGGAAACACATGGAAACTGAATATCAGCCGGAGGACTCACGGTGCCTTTCCCACTGCCATCCCCTCCCCCTCCCTCCTACCAGAAACCAACTGACTTCCAAACTTGGCTGTCTGAAAAAGAATGTTCTCTGATTGGCATTCC